CATTGAAGTCGACGCCGAGAAGGCGGCCAAAGTTGTCAAAGAACTCAACGGCAAGTCCATCGACGAGATCATTGCCAAAGGTTTGTGTCCATCGCATCTGTTGAGTGATTGTCTCACTAATGGGTGATCTGTTTGGAACCGATAGGCTCTGAGAAGTTGGCGTCCGTTCCCTCAGGAGGTGGTGCGGCGGTGGCCGCAGCTCCCGGTGGGGCTCCCGCTGCTGGAGGGGCCGCCGATTCGCCCAAAAAGGACTCCAAGAAGGAGAAGAAAGAGGAGTCCGAAGAAGAAGAAGACGAAGACATGGGTTTCGGTCTCTTTGACTAAAATAATGATTATTTTGTAACATAACTTAAACAATAAAATTAAGTTTTGATTTCAATAATGGATTACTGTTTGCGGTCTTTATTTGTGATGATTTGCTGATAATTATTGGCAAATGTGTTGACAATTTTGCGGCGTTTCTAAACTTATAACCGCTTATAAGCTATTAACTTACCATCAATCTTGTGGACTAAGTCTTAACAGTAAATCTAAGACATCTGGAAGTCTTAATGTTTGTTAGACCAACGTTTAGTAATATTTAAGGTATCTTTGAAAGTATGGCTAGAATTGTGATCAAATGATTTAGTGATCATTTCATGACGAAGTGGAAAGTTTAGCAAATGATTCACATTATGTTTAATTGAAGTTTTAATAATTTATTCAATGGTTCAAAATTTAATAACTTTTTTATGCACTGCAATGGATTAACAATTAGTTGTTTCATAGAATTGTTTTACTTTCATAACATTTAGTATATTTAAATAAATATATGATAATAGTAAACAGAATCAGTTTGTTTTTGAAAGTTTTGTCGTTAAATAATATAACATTTCATATACTGTATCAGTAATAATTTGATTCAAATATAACTCAATATATGACATCAAAAATACATTATAATGAGAACTAGACTGTAATTGGATAGCATTTGATTGAATAAATTAAAGTTCATATTCATTTGATTCACAATTGACTTAAAGATCACTTCAAAGAATTTCATTTGTTATCAATTAATGTCTGTATTTGTAACACTAGATCTCTGGCAATCTTGAGGACAGCCTTTGCATCGTGTCGTTCAGAATTCATTTGATTCACAATTGACTTAAAGATCACTTCAAAGAATTTCATTTGTTATCAATTAATGTCTGTATTTGTAACACTAGATCTCTGGCAATCTTGAGGACAGCCTTTGCATCGTGTCGTTCAGCCATTTCTGGGATCAAAGACATAAGAATTAGGATCAGAATTCTGTGATTCTTTAACGGGAAGTCATATTGTGAAATATTTCATACCATTAAAAAATTTGATGATATCTGTAAAGTCCATATTGTTCTCCAGAATAATATCCCTGTAGTACTCGACTAACGCTAATGCGATGAACAGTACAAAACTGGCCGAAGAGACATACTTTGCCGACCATATGGTCTCCCATACGGAGAACACGTCTTCGTAAACGAGTTCTGTTCAAAGAATTAATTCAATTATATGTTTAAAACCATTTTGACCACAAAATGTCAAGTGTTGGTGGACTGACCCCTCTTGAAGTCCAGAAGGAACCAACGATAACAGAAGTAGAAGTGCGTGTAATCGCCGTTTTGGTGCATCAACTCAAACATCTCTGCGTCCAGTATTTGGATCAAAGATCGCATGTTTGCAAAGTGTGCGTCCATTGCCCCGCCGTGTGGGAAGTTGGCTACCATTCGCTTCATTAGCTCACAAAAGCAACTGTAGGTCAACACCTCTGTCCATATGAACATAGTTT